ATTTGGATAAGCCGGGAAACGGGCCCGGCATCCCTCACAAAAGATAACAGCAGGCCAAGTCTTGGACCCGGCAACTCCGGCCGGGTACAGAACCGGACTGCAAGAGTGTCTGTCCCAAGTAACAACTTCGGAGAAACAACAAAAATGAAAGAAAAAACAACAGCCATGCTAACATCTACCCTAAACGGCCGTATCGTCAATCAGCCAGGGGAAGAGTAAAGAGGTTCAAGGACAAACCGCCGGCAAAGGTGCAGTGAAAGGTAGAACTATAAATCCTGGAAAGTAACATCAACCAACGAGAGAAAAAGCACATTCTAAAAGTACAGACACGGTTAAAAACCAGACTTCTACGAGAGAAAGGGCCTCACAAGAAAAAGGAGGAGAAAACCAACAGCGGATGTGACTGCTGTGTGACTGCTGCTGCACTGTCACTGTCACCAAGTCTGAGAACCCTCTCCATTGGGAAAGAAACAAGTTCATAGGTTTAGTTCGGTACCCTTTATTCACCACTTTGTGTGTCCAATCTGTGTCAATGGCCTGCTTGATATTGTATTTAACCTCTGCTCTTATCATCGGGGGGTAAGCCTTTCCCCCCTCCTGACCGCCGAGTTCCTAAGGGTCCACAGAGTCCATAGTACTGCACCACGCAATGTCTCCTCTGCATACCCCAGAGAGCCTATAGCTGATTGTCTACGAGATGCATTGCTCAATAGAATGAAGTCATCTGACCATCGTGCAGAGGAGTCTGGCACTGGCACCGAATCTCCTCGCCACCATTCCCAGAAAGGCGCAGACAACCGACAGTGGAGAAACATGTGTTGAAGATCCTCAATTCTTGTGCCTTCACACAAGACACACAACGGTGATGCTCTGGGCGTTCTTCTAGCACACCATTTTGCTGTGGGGACTGCCAGGTGCATAATCTGCCATAAGAAACTCGCCTATTTAACCACGGACAGGTCCATCAACAATTTCCAGAATCGGGGCAGCGCTGACACCAACCTTACTGCCGTGCCGTGTCGTGCACCCAACCTGAAGCGACCCACCTTTTGGCCACCTGCCATCCTACGTCCACAGGAGGACGAGTAAGTTGGTTTGGTACCCCATTCTCGTAGAATATTGATACAGTTTAGGCAATTTGTCGGGGGAGAGTGGGTGTTTCCATGCCCAGTCCCTCAGGTCCACTGACAAGGTGTATGCTGGCAGCGAAATGGCAAAAGGTCTAACCGAATCCTGATATTCCAACACACACACCGGTATGAGCTGAGACAATGGGGGAACGGGGGTCTGTGGCTCAGTCAGCGTCATCTCCTGTCCCTGGGACAGATGTACTCCTATGGCTTCCCACGACGAAGATATCGGCACTCCAGCATCCGTCATGTCCTCTATTTTGTGTCGAATCCGTGAATGTCAAAAATGGTCTGACCTCCAAAAAAAAAAAAAAAAAAGGTCTGACAGCTTTTGTGTCGGAACCTTGAATGTCCAAAATGGTCTGACAGCTGACGAATATTTCACGTTGGTTTTTTTTTTTTTTTTTTTTTTTTTCACGTTTTCAACACTGGTGCGGCAAGGCTCTAAATTTCCAAGGCTCTGGTCCGCCCGACCACAATTGCTGACGCCGCTGATGGCCCGAAAGAAACAAATTGCGCTGCTGACTGTTAGACAAAATTTTGTCACGCAGGATCCTCAGGGGGACGGACGAAGCCAGAGGCCGGCGCCTTAGAGCTCTGCTCCCGTGACGCGAGCAGGCATAGTATTACGGTTTTGCCATAGCTGCACCGTGACACCACCACGTACATAGCCGCACGGAGCTTAACCACCATGCCCTGGAGCTCACAGCATGGGGAAGGGGGGTCTTGCAGCGGTCGAGCTACATAGGATAACTCGAGCGACAGAGACACGAGATCTTGTCCAGGCCCTAGAGGAGGGAGTGGGCAGGCCCTCTGAGGAGGTGAGGAGGGGAGGCAGACAGGGAGGCAGACAGCATGGGGTCTTCAAACAGGAGCTGCGGAGCAGAAGGACAGACAGATGGCAGCATTCAAGAAAGACAGCGAAATCACCAACAGGTCGAACATTTTCGAACATTTCCAAACACTTCTGAACCGAAGAACGCCGAAGATAGTGTCCTTTCCATGGAACACTTTCAAACGCGGAGGAACACTTTGAAACGCGGAGAGAGGAGAGCAAGTATAATACATAAGATCGCTAACGGAGCAATAACTCATGTGTTAAAGGAGAGCCCGCCCGCACGAGAGAGAGAGAGAGAGAGAGAGAGAGAGAGAGAGAGAGAGAGAGAGAGAGTCCGTTGTGAATGATAGAGAAGGATAACCATTCTTGATTGCTTTCTTCAAGTTTCTTGATCCGAGTATTGATCTCAGTTC